CAGTTCACCTATTCATCAACAATGTACGACTGTCACACAATTAATGCAAAACACATATTCCCAGGACTGGCCAATTTGAAATACATTTCCTGCACATGTGCAGAACATTGTCAAACATTACGTCATTAAGTTGTGTGCACATGCATAATAGCAATCACATAAAAAATGAACGACATAAACTAAGAATTATACCTTAACCTTACCTTTTATTCCAAGTCATTTGTTAATAAAATAAAAGAAATAAAATGAATACATAAAAAAAATTGCATAAAATAATTGTTCTTGTTCTCTTGAATATAATTTATAATATTTCAGTTTTACGATAATAACTCAAGTGAAATTAATATAAGTCATGGTAAGAATTAAACAAGTTGTGTCTGAGAGAATGATATTGATACTCTTTAATATTTTTGCTGGTGCATACAATAACTAATAATTTAGCAATACAGCAAATATCTACCGGTATACCATACTATTATCTTTGCTTCTCCAATGCTTACCTCTTCCATTGAATACATATTCCACATCAATAAATTACACCATCAGATTTCTGATATCCCTATCAATTGGTTTTTTTTTAAATCTGGGCTAATGAGAACAAATAAAAAAAAAATATGCTCTGTTTTAAGCAAATACGCTACATTATTTAAAATATTGTTCTTTAGTTTAAATCACATTTGCATAATCTAAAAAAATTCATTTATAATTATTATAAAAGATTGAAATTTTTCATTTGGAATATGAAAGTAAAGCAACTACAAAATATCAATTATTGGTTTTATAATTTATTTATTTTTTAATAAAGCACAACTTATCTGAGTAAAAGTAGCTTTGTAGACATGTAATAAAGGTTTCCACTTAAAATCAGCATGCATCAGTAAAGAGATTGCCTGCCCTTGTTTATCTACCCTTAACTTTGGAATGTACACCCATATAAATAGAATCAAGGATTTAACAGGTAAGGGTATGTACGGTGATACGAGTATGAAAATCTCGTATAAATCGAAAATATTTCAAACAAGTAGTGTTAGCGGACACTTTAAAAGGCTCAAATGTGTATACCCTCACTTTGTACATACTTGATAAGACTCCTTATACTTGAACTAATTTAAACAGCGATAAAATAGCAACCTTACCGGTACTTTGACCACTCCCAATCAAATAAACAATGGAAATACTACAACAGTACAGCAAAACCCACAGTCCCACTATCATAGTGCCACTGATGTAAACCATTTTTTTCACAGACGTTTAATTTTTGTAATTTTATTTTTTTTTGAGCAATTTCAATGTGTTTTAAGTTCACACACTTGCCAGGGAAACAATGACTTTGACTACTGTCATTTTACATGTTCACATGGATTTAACTGATGAAAATAGCAAAATTAAAAACCAGCAAATAATTAATATTTTCACAGTACAAATTATACTGAATTACTCATGATACTCATCAGAGAACGAATAAAATTGTGTTATTATAAGTATTTCCAATAAATTGCATGCACCACAGAAAAAATGTTTTGATGCATAGTCTTTAGATTTTTAAAAACTGTTTTTAAGAAGTTTTTTCTATATTGGGTATTTTGCATGACGAATGTCTACGCAACAAACCACATGAACCATGCAATCTAAGCTGCAGAAATAATTAATAACAAGTAATATTTCTTTTTTTTATTTCAGTATTTGTAAAATACTTATAAATGATAAGAACCCCCTGCTATCACCGTAATAAATGCAGCAAAAATACAGTCTCTGCATGATCTATTTGACAGCAAATCCAACTAAGTGTGGTTTCTGCACTGTGAATGTCGTGACAAAGGAGCTGAGAAGCGACTGTACTCAAGCCTTGAAAACCCTGCTTCGTCGATATACTGCCATGTTTTCCGAGTTAAGACGCATTTTTCCCCGGACAGGAACGAGCAAAAAGGATTCATCAGGCGTTGAAGTAAATGAGTCCAGCTATTCTTAGAAGCTGACACATGCTCCATGTAGTAGAACTTTCCTCCCTTGAAAATAAAAAAAAATAAGGAGAAATTAGAATTCAAATATACGTAATGCAGACCCATAATTTTACATTTTTTGTAAGTAGAATTATATTATTTTACATTTATATTTATTGGATCAAATTTACCTTAATTTACAGACAAAACATAAAATTCTTTGAAGTTTTTTGATACAAATAAAACCATGAATATACAGTATGATTCAAATATGTAATTGTGATTGGCTAAAATTTCTCTAAACCCCATAACGAGTACACATGCCTCAATCGTACGTATGAGTGTGACGTAGTGTCTGCGGCCATTAAAGCGGGAGGGTCGTCACCTGCACACACGCAGGAATTGAGTCCCAAGCGATGATAACAACACGTGCTAAGAACGCAAAGGCTCATGGGTAGACAATGACACGCTATGGCCATCCGCATGCGTAAGTGGCGACTCCCTCACTTTAAAGCATTTACTGAATGGTTGACACTGAACTAACTCATTAATATCAAATTATATTTACTGTGATGTCACAACCATATTACTGGATTGGTCAATTGGAATTCCAGCAGCCATTTTGCATTTATTAAATTTTATATTCATAAAACATTTAGAACATCTACATTTTTTTGTCGTGCACTGTATACATCACAACATAAAGAGTACGCTGAGTATAAAGTTAAAATACCATGTACCAGTATCCTAAAAATTATTTGTATGCCAATATATTTATAAACTCAATTTAAAAGTTTACACATTCTTTTTTTTACGCATATCAAGAATACATTTGACCTCACTAAATGCAGCATGAGATATTAATTATAATATTGTTTTAATCACTACCCACACACCCAGTATTCCAGTCTGTCAACAAACCTGCCTAAACATGTTAGCTATAAAACTCTTAACTCGTAAACCACAACAACTTGACATTCCAAGCAATTTAAACATGGCAGAGACAAATATCTGGAGTTTGTGTTCGGAGGATAAATGGAGGATGTAATTTTTCCAGTATTTGGGGTGATTTTCTAAACATTTTATCCATTCGTTGAGGGCGCATTGCCAGGAAACAGGTGTACATGCATCTGATACGGAACAACATGCCCTTTGTCTCACGGTGTCCTGCTACAATCTCACCCATTCGAGAACGATTTGTAAGAACTCACCGGTTTGAGAACGCGTTTTATTTCTCTAACATACGCTTCAGGGTCGTTAGCCACACACATGACGAGTGTAGACACGACAACTGGTACACAGTTATCGTTAACATCGCAAAGGTTTTCCCCTCTCCCAACTATGAATGCTTCCAGCTTCGCCTGCGAGTTTTTAACGTTGCTTTCCAGATACGATTGATAGTTTTTATTCGGGTCGATTGCGATCACCTTCGTTCCTTTCGGGTAGAACTCAAAATTAGCACCGCTTCCTGCACCGATTTCCAGAATGGTCAGTTTTCCGCCATTCTTTGCTTTGATCTGCGCCAAGTCAGAAAAGAGTAGCGCTTTGACATGGCCCATCTGGCGATTGTACTTCTTTGCAAACCTGTGCATAAACGGAGGCGATATCATCGGGTAAAACAGCTTGATAACCAACCCAGTTATACGCAGGATTACCAGAACGAACGCAAAATACATCAACCATCGAACCACCCTCTCTTCGATCGGTAAGCCACCGACTGTGAAGAAAACTTTTTCCTCGCCCACTTCTTCGTTGCTGTCAGCCATGTTTTGCGAAAAGGGAAACAACCGTGCAAGGGGGTGTCACTCCTAACGTGGTGAACTTACGGGCCACTCCCACCTTTGTACATGTACACATTTACTGAATAAGTAAACCCAACTCGGACAATTGAATCGCAAATTTGTCTAATTTCCTTCTTTTCAATTGAATTATATCGTTTTACGGATAGTAGACGTTTTAAGGTAGTAAACTACACACTACCCATTGTCATAGAAGAATCCTTTTAAACCATATCAAACAAAATCTGAAAGTATCTACTATATATCGATATTACGTTTTATGTAACGGTCACGTGATAACCCTTATTGAAGATTTAACCGAGTATCGTGAAGATATTGAAAAGGACACCACATTTTTTTTTTATTTTACATTAGATAGCCAATTTGTTATAATGCGTTAATTTATTAAAACATTCCGATGAGCTAATACAATCATTGAATAGTGTTCACTTGACTGCATTTTGATTTAGGCAGAAATATAAAGTAATTTGCATATTGCGGATAAATGGTGAAGTTTCTAAATTGATTTTTTAAGTCAGAAACTCTTCTGTTACATCAGTTATATTTTGACGTCCATTGAAATATTTATGTTTAACTAGCATTTTATACTTGACTATGCTATTCATTATTTAAAAAAAAATATGGTCATGGTATCAATGAAAATTTACTATTTGTATACATGTTCAATTTATGACAGAGCCTTGGAATTTTATTAGAATAATTATATAAAGTATAAAATATGGCAAACTACATTAATACCGGTAACAGTTCTCTGTTTGTATTGATATGAACTCGTTCATTCCGACAAACAATTAAAAACTGTACATATCCATTAAAATAAATGTACATATGTGTTACCTTCAAGGCCGAACCCAGTTACGAAGTTTAATTACTTGTGTAACAGGACTTAAACTTGTACTGCTTCTTCAGAAATCTATATACAACTATTAAGGTCTCATGCCACTAATCAACCAATGATCGTTCGTATTTAAATGCCTTGCAAGAACCAATGATTTTTTTTTTGATATTTGTTTTTCAGGTGCGCCCTGTTTGAGGGCGTGCATCACCTTGGTCAAAGGTGAGACGAACATGTGGTCTTTTGTTTATTACTTAGCGGCCGTGTACCTTTGGGTTTATTCTGTGTGTATTTGGATGTTCTAATATTGTTGTTTTTCCATTGATTTCTCTAGGTGAAATCCAAATGCAGTAGGTGTGTCTTGTTTACCTGAGATTTGCAAGAGTTTGAGCTGGCCATCATTTTTTCATGTGGTTGATTACTGGCTTGTTAATTTCCCATTTTTGAGCCATGTTTTCAACTTGCTTATCATTTTCATATAGCAATCTCCTCATATGTTAACATTGTCGTCTATGGATTTTTAATTAGGTATGAGCCCTGAAGCGAACCGAAACAAACTCTTAACTGATGTAAAAACAAAGGCGTAAATATATACATTGTATAATCATAAATTATTGAGGGCGCTGCATAGTGAACTTAATA